TACATCTGCACCGATGGGTTCCCGGTTTGGCTAGCGGTCGTTTTCTTCTTTCACTAACGTGTTTAATCCCGTGAAGCATTTTGCGGACGGACAGACATACAAACCGACATACATACCGACAAACCGACACACAGAGTTAGTGGTTTATAGAATGTAAGGATAATGAGCTTTCGAAGTTGATCAAATCCTTTCGGGATGTGTGGCACGTTCTTCTTCCACACAAAATCCTGGCATTTTGAAGGAAAGGCACGGCTCACGAAGGGACCCGGCGAGCCTGCTGGCTTACAAGTCGGGTGTTTTCCTCAAAAACAGCTCTGGTTCCGGTCTACAGTCCTCGGAGAGATGCAAAGCTTGGATAGCCCGGTCGAAGCCCATCAGATGGACCGCAGGACCGCGCGCGTGTTTAACAGCGTCCCTGGCCACAAGACTTTTACTTTTAAATAGTAAAGGTACATAAAACTTGATCGCACGGAGGAAGCACTACTTTATTAGATGCAATTTCTAAATGTAGTGCAAAACTGTAAAACATCAAAGACAAAAACTAACTGCAGCTCCTCCAGTTCGTGCTTGAGGCCGTCAAGAGCTGCTTTCACCTCTTCTGTGTCAGTCTGCTTGCCTGCCGTGTCACTTTCCACAGATTTCGCCTGCTGTTCCAATACATAGCGCGCACGTGACTAAATAATTGTAATGTGTACAAAACAAATAGTTCTTCTTCATTGAAATGTGATAAGCCAAATCAATGGAGCAGAGATGATTGCCTCTTCTTTTTTCTCATCACACCATAATCTTCATATCATACCTTGTACGCCTGATAGTCAGCTTCGAGATTATCACAACGTGTCTTGAGAACCTGATTTTCCGACAGAAGATCACTAATCTCCATTGATTTTTGCTCATTAGCTCGTTGTAAGCTGAAATAAGGACAAATCGACACAGGTATTCCAGAATTGTTAGCAGTTGTTTCTAGAAAATTGCATTGTGCTATGCAGTGTTATGCACCCTCCGACTGCTTAAAGGGATGCAAAAAACTGCTTACGCTGGAAAACTTGTGCATTTACTTCGCTTCTTCATGCATACTAGTGTGGGCACTATTAGAGTGGGGACAACACAATCATAAAAAGCCGCGCTGGTAGGCGTGACGATTGACGCCGACAGACGAGTTTCCTGCATAGCCGTTCGAATTTGAGTGTCAGAGGGATGAGGACGGGGAGGCGGCCGTTTGGCGCGATCACATTGCAGTTTACGTGTTCTGACAAGTAACGGTACATGCCTACCAGGTTGGATAACTTGTCGGAATCACTGAACTGTAAGGTTTTCGTAATTTGTAGACCTACCAAAAGCAGTGACTGTTGGCTCTAGGACTCTTGTGGGCTCGGGTTCTAATAATAGGTCATGTATTTGTCTAGTGTTCACTCAGGGAAACACCCTAGTTCATAAACTATGCCGAGTTGTTTCACTTGTAATCGGTTTAACCGACATGTTCTGACGCGTAGGCGACAAAAAAATCGCGCCAAACGACATACACCCGGAAATTCGACATCCCATCATTCAATCTTGTCTTTGCTCGAATTCGTAAGTTTTGATGCTCTAGTCGACAAAATGAAGCGCATTGCAAATTTGCTGGCCGCATGATATGCCGCCCATGGCAACGCAGCAAGTTACAATTGTCCTGTATGTCTCCCGTACGTTCTGGTCCATAAGAAGGATGAGCGTGCGATTAATTACTCGAAATAGGTTCTACACAAGTATGCTGAATGGGGTCTTGATCACACGGGGGGTCTTCAACCCGCACTTCACAAATTCCGGGCGAGTGCGCTAAAGAGTTGCAGGTTCGAGTCCCAACTGGGGTCAAGATTATTGCCTATGACTCAGTATTATTGTGGTAACTTCTTGAAACGTCTGGTCAAGTTTACCCAAGCGACATTATAGCTTGAAATATGCGCATAGGAGAAGTACCAGCGTGACCCTTCCTACGTGCCAACGAGACAAATCAGAGGTCCAAAAGTGAGTGTAAAAGAAGCGGTTGAAGCAAGAAAAGACGGCAAACTGAAATCGAGTACGTTTTGTACAGGGAGGCCCAAAAAAAAGTCACTTTTCTTCATTGACTTTCGAGGCGCTATAAATTACACTTTATTAAATTCTGATCGGACATTTTCACCACCATATTAAAGAGCATATTAAATACTATCATGACACTCCGCCACAGCCTTCTGGACGAGCGCCATCGAGAGATTCTGGCACGCGACCGCGATGTGGTGCCTGAGATCAGCGAGATAGTCGATTTCTCCGCCACCGTAGACCACCCTATTGAACTCCGCCCGAACCGGGTAATTGAGGGGATTCAGGTCAGGTGACCTACTTGGATATTCCATCTTCTTTAGGTACTCAGCCCCTTCCATTCCAAGTAGGCGAGAGTTTCTCCAACGCCCTTCGATTCCATGTGGTGGCACCCAATGCTGTAGCAGTACAAAGTTTCCAAGAAGGTACGGGCGACGACATGTGAGGAGGATATTCTTCACGAGTTGCTCAATGTAACCGCCAGCGCTCACCTTCAGTCCGGGGTCCACGAAGAAAATATTGGTCTTCCATTCCAGGTCCATACCATCAACCCGCGCCTTGGCGACTGTGGTGAAGATGATGTCCTAGACCGTGGCGACGTTGTCGGAGCTGCTCGATGTTGGAGGTCATCCAGATCGAGAGTACTGGTCTCCAGGTAGCTATCCATGGGTGACTCCATACTAGAAGTTCCGCCCTGGTACTCGTATCCACGTCCTCTGTCTGGGCAGCGAAAACTTTGCTGATATGTGACTCGGTCGAAGTGCCTTTTTTGCCCCCTGTAAACAAAACCAGCGGTTTTCCAGGAGGTTGACCTTAGGACGCTACCATGAGAAGTGAGAGTATTTCTTAAGAATCGACAAAAGGGATGTTATCATTCATGAATGGTCACATTCTGTTGAGAAACTACTGAAGCCACTTGGAGCACGGTCATACTTTGCGTCAGCGTTTACAAAGTACAGCAGTGTTTCGAGTGTTTGGAACGAGGCCAATATTTTTGGCGACTAGGAAAATATAGATATCGATGCAATGTAAGCCACCGTATTTAGGGACCATTCGCCCGATAGATCGATACCTACACTTTCCAAGACGTTGAAATGCTGACGTACGCTCAGAACGCTCGATCGGTACCTATACTTTCTAAGTCCAACTGAATCTCTAAAGTCTTAACCAGTCACTTAGACCCGCAAAGCACTAACAATCTCTCTCCAATGGAAAAGGAGTGAAGAAAACAGTCACATCATAGAAACTTACAAACTGGTTAATTCCTCATTATGAGCAATTTTCGCCTCCAATGAAACCCGCTCGTCATTCCTAGCCGTTACCAACACGTTGAAGTTATCCTGGAGACGGTCCATAGCAGTTGATAGCTCACGGTTACGAGATTTCTCTTCTGTAATTGGGAAGGTTTTCCGGAAGAGATCAAGACTAGCGAGGAGACAAAATTCGTTTTCATGGTTTCTGATAGCGTTGTTACAGTAAGTAATAGCCAAAAGTGTTTCCATTACTGAAGCAACGCTATCAGAAATCATGAAAACGAAATTTTAGACCAGTGATCACTTTCAAAGTGACCTCTCAGCTTATGAAAAAATTTCGGTAAAACGTGTCTCAACGCAAAACCGTAAGGAAGTTAAAACCGATTACGAAAATGAAAATAACTGCTGAAAAGTAAACTATCGAGAACAGTGATCAACCCATGCAAAAATACGTTCAAACTTTGCGACGGTGGAATAGGAAAACAGGCGATTTGATGTTTCGGGAGCAAGCGCCTCAACGAAGAGTATAGGAATCGATCCGGCGACTTGGGAGAATAAGAAGGTAGGAATATGGAGAAGGCAACGTTTTTGGATAGCGCTGGATAGCGATCGACTCGGATGGCTAGGGTGGGTGACAAGAGAATCGAGAATTCCTTTTACACTACCTCTACCGGAGGTAGGGAGGGCGTGGCCGCGTTCTTCATTTAATCGTGATGTGGGATGTGCTTTTCGTAGGGCATTTTCATCTTAGGAAATGCCTCTGGTAGAAGAATCTCCAATGCACTTAACTCTCGCGATGAACGCTGCCTTTGAGGAACAGTGAAGAATCCCTCATGAATTCTCTGTAATTACTGAACAAGAAAACTCACCATTAAGTTCGTTCCTAATCTCCTGTAACTGCCTCTGGAGCACGGAGCACTCCGTGTTCATGCGATCGCTCGATCCTCTGGAAGGTAACCGGTAGTAACCTTAAGTTCGAAGACAATCTTGAAAAAAACAACCCCTAATCGATATAAAGGGCCATGTCTAGTTGATCGTTCGCCTGTCTGGAAATTCGGCATTATCAGACGAGTTATATGGAGAAGTCCGATTAAGTTTGGGTACCAAGAGCACACATCTGCAAAACCGAAGCCCGCCCGCGAGGGGAGGAGCGTGCGCCAAAGTGGGTGGTGCTAGGGGAAATCGTCAATCGGTCCCGCAAAAGTGCAGAGCTAGGAAAATAGGTGTATGTGAGCCACAGGTAGACGGGTGATATACAGGAACACGTTAGCAATTAGAGTAACAGCTAAATGTGACCATCTGCATATTTGTATAGTGAGGACTCACTTTTGGGTGCTCAGCTGTTGAACAAGCTCTTCTTTTTCAGCCTTGGCTGCTTCGAGAGCTGTTTCGGTGTCCTTGAGTGACTTGTTCAGTTGTACCATCTAAAAGAAAACTGGCTTACAACAGTACTCTTACCGTTCCGTCATGCTCAGTTGTGATTTTGTCGAGTTATCCAGGGTGAAACCATCTATAGAAAGAAAAACCGACGAAATTCGCAGAATTTCACTGCGAATGAAATTTCCTTCTTTTTTTTGAAATTTTCAGAATAATGAGCGCTGACAGAATGACTGCGGCGAGATAACAGAAGAAAACCAACTAAACTCCCCCCCCCTGTCCCTTATTAGAGATGTAGCTATGGTGCGGATAGACGGAAATAAAAAATCAAAGAATGCTCACCTTTTTCTCGTAATCTTTGAGCTCAAGAGAAAAGACATCCGTAGCAGTCTGCTGTTCACGAAGAGCTGCAGCTTCCTGAAGGGCGTCGTCGAGCTGAGATCGCAGGTGGTTATTCGTTTGGAGAACAGCAGCGAGATCTTCTTCATGACGAAGGCGCTAAACAGTTAAGATACTTACAAAGCACAAAAACTCCAGAAATTCGACGAGTTTAGCAGTAGCCCAAAAACTGTGAGCTGACGGCGCGGAGCTGGCAAACACAACTTTTTATATACTTACTTAACGTAGAAGCATTGGCAGTAACGTGGTGCGACAACGGGGACTAAGAGTCAGGCGTAAGTCTTAGTCGACAGAAGGAAATAGTTGACTGTTAGGGTTTGAGGCGGACGGGATCTATGTGCAAGCCATTCCTTAGCTGCGGCTAAAGGAGGATCGTGTAGAAAACCAGTGCTTTTACCAAAGTTTCTTCGGCCTACGCTAAAGGGAAATAATTTTAATGGAGCTCACCACCACTGAAAGGTAGGGCTAAAAATTAACGAGAGTTCTGTTTGAACCAGTTGATATTAGAGACGATGGCGAACAGTATCAAAGGAAGGTAACAATTTGAGAGTGAGTGAAACATCGAGCGAAAGTAGCTCTCTGGAAAAAAACAGCCGGTACTATATGAAGGGTATCACCTTTAGGGAACGGTATGTGACACTGACACTTAGAGGCACACCCCAGTTTCAAAAATGGTGTGTTGTGTGGCCCAAATACTGATGAAAAGATACTAAATAACACAAGGGTGAAGAAAAAAATCCGCCCAAAATGCCAAGAACCCCATGATGGACCGCGTTTGCACGTGCCTAAGACGAGCAGAGGGCGTGGTCGGACGAGTTATTGGTGCCAGCTCTTTCTCCACATCAACTCACCCTCACCACTCGAAATGGAGATGTCAGGTAGCAGTTGAAAATGAAAGCGCGGCGTTACCGTGGCCAGTAGGTGGAGTTGCGGCCTCGTCGAGAGAGAGAGAGAGAGAGAGTCGCTCTTTCCAAACGTATTTTTGGGCTGCGCAAGGAGTACATCCTCCATGCATGCGGACAGGACTACTGTACACAAAGAAGGCGCTTCCGCATCAAACGAACGCGGGACGTGCCTTTAAAAGCACTACAGTTTCAGTCGATGAGCATTACTATCGCAGTCATACATTGACTATGACCAATGTACACCAAAAAGGAAAATCGTTTGAGAAATAAACAGAAGCTTCCAAAGAAATAGATGGACATAAGAGAAGATCTAGGGAATTACACAACACTGAAAAACGCTCAAAAACCAGTACTTACCTCTTTCTTCAACACAGCAATATCACTAGTGAGTTGAGCATTCAGTTCAAGAAGCTGTTCCATATCAGCATTCGCAGCGATGCCATTCTAAACTTCCGATTTTGATATGAAAATCAATACACTGATTTATAAATGCACTGAGTACAACGTTAGCCCACATCCAGGCCATTTCGTGAAGTTCTGTGAAGTCCTGCAAGGATCTCAACGTGGGTGATTCTTTTTCAGAAATGCGGGACTCTATCTGCAGAAAGAAATGTTTTACACACCCCCTACAAGCATAACCGAAAAACACATAAATAAATAAATCCTTTGGCTAAGTTTTCCTTGGCACCTTCGAGCGCCTACACAGACAATCAAACAACTGGCATGAAGATGAAAAATCGTAGGGCCGCGTTCAGACTTCGCGACTGAGACGGTGGCGATTTGGGAAATTGGGGAGGCTAGAAGTTTCGAGAGAATGCGCACCGGTAGCGGATATATATCGATCGGAGCTGGTGGCCTGCGACTGCGAAAACTAGACGTTTTGAGCGATCGCGCGTCAAGGGAGTGGATGAGTATCGACCGGCGCCGATCGATACCCATCAACTCCACTGGCGCGCAATTCCTCGGAACGTCAAGTTCCTAATATGCCGTGCTGCCGATTCCCCCAAATCGCCTTATCGCTGTCTATACTTCCCTCGATCCAATCACTCGAATCGTCAAGTCTAATATGCCGTGCTGCCGATTCTCCCAAATCGCCTTATCGCTGTCTATACTTCCCTCGATCCAATCACTCGAATCGTCAAGTCTAATATGCCGTGCTGCCGATTCTCCCAAATCGCCTTATCGCTGTCTATACTTCCCTCGATCCGTCAAGTCACCCCGCCGAACCTCCTTAGTCGTAATGAATGTAGCGGCCTAACAATTCATAGTTTTCCATGACTTTTTTGAAATTCCAGGCGGTAGACCTACTTTCTCCAGGCGGTAGACCTACTTTACTAAGTGATACGATATCTTGCACTCAGCTTAATTTAGCAATCGAAAACATAAGAGTATACAAAAAACGAAAAGGAGCTCGGAATAATTAGAACTCACCTCAGCATGCGATTCCTCTTGACTTTCACTCTTTTCTAGATCCGACGACTTCAGCTGCGAGTTTTCGGCAATCAGATCACTAATAGTGGCATCTTTTTCCTCCTGAAAAAGGTGTGTAAAGAGGCGTGAACTGAAGCGCAGCGAAGTGCATTTTCCGCCAATTGCTGCGGATTAGGACCACATCATTGGATGAAGAGGCTGCCCTGGCTGCGGTTCAGTCCACGCCCAGCGTTACAGCAGTGATCACGTATAAGGGCATGACATGTACAAGTTTAAAAAAAATATTGCTTTTGTCGTCTATTGGTACCTTCCTGGGATTAGGCACGTATTCTACTTCCGCTCAGAATCGTAGCGGCTCATTGAATGCGATATGACACTTACAATGAGTTGCAGAGTCAAGCCGGTGTACAAGTGTACTTTCATCTACCCATGCGAAGCTGGTGGGCAAGTGTTCGTTTTCGGAGGGTGGAAGACTGGTCTGGTTAGCCTCGATAAGAGCCGATCCAGGATATGACTACCGTAAGCGCTATGATTCGGGATAATTATTACTCTAGCCGGATGCAAGACAAGTGCAAATAACTTTTTTGAAAAAATAATAATCTGCAGGCCCCATAAGCTTCGCATGACCGTACGATTAGATAAAAGGAGGTGCCGCAAGCAGCGGTCAGATTTCGCTATGACGCGCGTCCATGCTCTTCGGCAGATTGGAGATTGTGTGACAAGGCAGCGTCTACCCTCCTATTAGTATACTTTCTCGGAATACTAGTGGTTAAGCCGATCGATATTCTTCTGTATAAGAGCGCCGGCGCGGAAGTGGTGTAGTGACAAGTGGCGCGCTTACCACTCGCGGGGCCGGGTTCAAATCCCGGGTCGACTCCCGCCCAGGCCAACCAAGCCTTCTACCCTCCGGGGACGGTAAATTGGTACCAGATTCGTCTGGGAGGATAAAACACTGACTTGTACATCGGCTGGCCACCGCAAGTCATTGTATAGGCCACATCGCATTCAATAAGCCACTACGATTCTGAATGGAAGTAGAATGCGTGCCGCATCCCACAAAGGGATTGATCAACGGCGAAGACTTTATCCTTTATGAGCGCCACTGCAATGGTAGCGCGTCAAAGCGTATAAACGCGCGCCATCGCGAAGTATGAACGCTACCCCAGTGACACCGAGGTATCAGGGTACTGGGGTCAGCTCACGAATCGGCCCCGACGGGGTCAATCAAGCCTTCCATCTCTGCGAGAGGTTGATCGGAATGAGAATGATCCGGGAGGATAAAAACACTGGGCTGTACACGGACTGTCCTCGTAGAGTATTGTACAGGCCATATCGCAATCTATATGCCTATTGTTGGATGGTAATAGAGTGTGTCATCACAAAAAAAAACGATTGATCGACGCTCTATCTTTTATTGTTCTTGTATCAAGACGTCATTAGTAGACATTAGTCCCACAATGAACAGTCTCTTACAAAAACTCTTGGAACCTCAATGCTTTGACGTCAACCCTTTCTAAGCTCCCCTGTCCCAATCGTTACATATAGAGGTCGCCATACAAAAACTATTTGATAAGATAACAAACTTTTCAAACCAATTATCGATTGAAGGATTACCAGCGATTGCTTCAATCTTTTGATCTCCATTTTGGATAAGTTCACATGCTCCAATTGGCGCTTCACGAAGCGGATGAGATCTTCACGGCTTAGGGTATCCAACTATAACGGAAATAGGCACTGATGTAGGTAACAAAATCTTATAAAATTACAAAGCAAAAAATTGGCAAAAATTTGGAGCAAGAAAAGGTAGAGCCCTTCAACGAACCTTCGACTTGGTCTGAGTGTTTTGACCATCGCTTTCGGGTGTATTGGTAGCCATATCGTGCGCAAGCACGATTGACGACGAAAACGCTGAAATTCATTAATTCAGCCAAGGAAGGACAAGGTGGAAAAAAGTGACCCGACTCGACATCTAAGCAATGAAAAGCACATCATTTCTGAATACAGTTCGATTCCAGACAAACCCCGCGATCGTATGTTCTGGAAGCAATCTATCGTCGCTAAGTGACTCTGCAGGGAAGAAACAAGCAAGAAGAACCACAGACAACACCGAAAAGACCCCTTGGCAGCCCAATACGAATTCTCCGGACCCGCGCCGTTCCATGTCAGCAAAGCGATGTCTTGCCGCATCTGGCACACTTATTTTTCCGAGTCATCCAAGGCTAATTCCATTCAACAATGAAAAAAAAACACGGTGTAAACTGAACTCGCGACAGAAAAATAGCCTTCGAGTCATGGCGGGCGTGACAACTAGCGAGAAGGCGTCAATACTGCCACGTATGAGGGCCGCGATGCCTTCGTTACATGCTATTCAAAGAAGACAGCTTTGGAGACGCGGACCAGACTGTTTTGAAAAGGAAGGACACCAACGAACAAAATGAGCGCGTGCCCTATGTTTAGATGTTGGAAGTAATTATGTATGAAACTGGACGAGTTGTCCACACAACAATCAAGTAATCTCAATAAACGATCAAAAAAATCAATGTTTTACTCTACACAAAAAACCTTGACCCCTGTTGAGCTACGCGCGATCGATTCCTGAAGGTAACTTTCTTGCCAGCAGTGCCGCAAGTTACACACACTGGTTACCGACCGCAGTTATAATTTTTTAGCGCGAAAAATACTACAGCTCTCGTAACATCTAGAAGAGGACTAAAACTCTAGAAAGTTTGCCCTATATAAGCGCGAGACAAATAAAAACTGCTGTGGAAACGTTCACGGCCTCCTCAGTGGCTTCACGAGCAAAGCAGCGGTTGGTCTAGTAAGGAAAGTGTCACACGAGGGTAAACGAAAGCATGAGCCTCTATGGGAAATGAAAATAAGCACATAAAGTACAGATAAACCTGAAACTAATTTGCAAACATGCTCTACGCTCATACGTGGATTTGCAGACGACACACGGCC